ACTGACTTTCCCAGTTTCCCCCTCTACTACCTGGTCAGCCCCAGACGTAGCACACTGATGGCCGTGGCGGTGGCAGAGCAGGCACTGGTGAACACCTACTAGCACACAGCTGTCTGGCTTTCAGCTACCAAATTACCCTTCTGCAGATGAGAATCCTTTCATCCACCTTTTCTTTCCGTAGATTTAGCCTAAACCTGCTAATAAGAGCTGGAGATGAAAAGAAGTAGTTCTGCCAGACAAAAAGATATAAGACTCCGAGTAACGAGGGAGGAAGGTGTCTGGTCTTACAAAAATTGAGAATAGGCAGTCATTAATTATTGAGATTTTATATTCAATGGCTTCTCCCTTCCTCCATCTCCTACACCTGTTCCTTCTGGGGTTGATGACTGTTTATGTTGCCTTGAGGAAATAATGAGGGCCAGTTTCTGGGGGACTGGTGAAGATAAGTATGAGACCTTTATCTTGGCCAAAAAAAAAAAAAAAAGAACAGAGAGAGTAAAGTAAGTGAGAACAATTAAGTGAGGTAATTTAGAACAATCACCTAATTACCTAAGCAGGTTTACTCCTCTAAGAGTGCACTTTTTATCTTAATCACCTGGAAAGCTTTTTTTCCAAATCGCACAGGTCTTGATACCGTCCCTGCAGCCTATGGCTCAGGGGGTGTGGGTGGCTGCGCAGCCCTGTGGATTTATAAAGAGCTGCCCTGTTGCTCCCACTTCTTTTTCAGACGAACATTCTTAGATATGTCCAGACAGTCTCCCTGGCTATCGAGCTACAGTCATCTTTTCACCCTGGACTTTAGATCATTTTTCACTTTCTCCTCCTACATTCTTGTCGAGGAGGTTCAAATTCTATCAGGATACTGCTGGTTTAATTAGATTCTCAGACTCAAAACGCCATAATCCTGGGGAGGAAAAAAAAATCCCTGTGTGAATTATGGCGTCTATAAAACTGCAGCTATGGCGCCACCTGCTGTAAATTATGGAAACCAGGAGGGTGAATTGCCTATTTATGGAAACCTAAAATGCTTCCTGGGACCCAGGGAAACAACCTGAAACAACAAAGGCAGTGGAAATTCGGCACAAAGCCGACAAAATATGACATAAGTGAGGAAAACTCATCTCAAGAGAGAATACAGACTTCACCCTGTGCGAAGGAAATGCTAAAGAGGCTGTCATTCGGAAGGGATTATCTTTTGAGAACTAAAGAAATGAAATCTTTCCATTTTCTATTCCATACTTCTTTCTTGCTGACTGGCTGGTTTCCATAAGGCTCCACTTTGAAAGCGCACTACTGTAGGTGATCAATGACATTTTAAGTTTTGTTGGCTTTTTAAGGAAGCCTCTGCACAAGGACTAGTAGAAAGCAAATTAAAAGGGCGGCATGTGGACTCTAAAATGTAAGGTTCATCTAGGTGATGCAGCCTCCAATGTGAGAGTTTTTAAGGACAAGAAGCAGGATATGAGCTTGTGCAAAGCAAAAGAGACTCCTGTCTGGTTAGACTGACGGGCAGCAGTACATCCTTGTGAATGACATGGGAGCTGCAATGTGGCCGGTGTCTCCTGAGTTTTCTCTTGCAAGAAGGAAACACCTAAGTTCCATACTTATGATGCCCTCCCCTCACCCCAGTCAAAGGCAAGAGGGTAAGTTTACTGTCATGTGTACGGATATAAAAATCTACACCATAGCTGGTCACAGACAGTCTCAGCCATAAGGACAGAAATCCCTCAAACTGAAGACAGTCTAGGCTCTAGGTAAGTCCATAGTTCAAAACATCGAGAGGTCTTATTTCCTCATCTGAATGTGAGGCAAATTTCTCATCTTCTGTATTCATGTCGTGCGTAATTGGGCAAAATCAACCAGGTGGAGGCAGTTGTCTTCCCAAAGAAAATTAACAAGAGCAATGGAAGGACACTGAGAGTGAGGTTCGAAACGCAGTCACGTGAGCATGCTGTGATTACAGTTGGACAGGGTCCACTATGATGGCTACCTGGTGCCAGGAGAGACCGGCAAGTCGCAGGGGTCTCACTGTGGTATGAGAGGGGATCTCAGGTCACATACTGTTCCCACTACCTAACACACGCATGAATGTCACCAAAGAATCAACCCTACTTGATCCTCAGCATTTCACTGAACACCACACCGTCTGCGAGTAAGTGACCTAAATTGGCTTTCTGCCCTGAGGCTGGTGGATGTTGAGGTTTAGAGATATTGTCAGGAGTCTGTCCTGGAATATACGTGAATTTCCCAGGAGTCACTGTATGCAACACACCTGCAGTTAGTACCTTCTGCCCCTCCCTTGTGCCTGCTCCCTTCCCCGGCCTTGTGCCCCCGCTTTTGGGGTCACAGGGTGGAGAGGCTCTGGCTTGGTGGGTATTCAGGACAGCGCACAGAAGAGGAGATGAAAGATCGCTGAGGTATCCTCAGCCCTGGGCTTGGAATGGGCAGGTGGGGGAGGGGGAGAAGTGGGAGGGCATCGTAAACATCTTGATCTATGTCCATATCGACACCTTCCACTCTTTAGTATGATGTTTCATTAAAGAATTCTTTGTTCCCTGACCACTAGCCATCTAAAGTAAGTTTTCAATTGCAGTGTTTGAAGAATGATGTTCAATCAATTATTTTTGTAAAGTTTAGTATCATTAAACATTCTGTAAGTGACAGGAATACTGATCAGGTAATACTGATCTGCCAAAACTTCTGGAAATTCTGGGGTATTTTTTCTTGGAAGATCTTCTTAGAATGAGTTTAGCAGAGTTTCTAGAAAGGTGTTTAACATGTAAGTTCCTATTTATAAAGCGCTTGGGACAATACCTGGCACAATATCATTTATAGCAGGTGCTATATAAGTATTTGATAAATAAATGAATAATCTAAATTATAAGATTATGAATTTGTAACTGGAGTGGTATTTTCTTCCATTTGAGGAATTAAGTTTGTGGATGAATGACTGTGAACATCTCAATTCTTTTAGCTTTAACATTCTGTGTCCTCCATATAGGTGACTAGCACGTGGAAATCACAAAGTCATACACAACATCTTCAGAATGGCAATAATGGCAGGAATTATTGAAGATTATGAATTATTTTCATACAAGTAACACTATTTGCTTTGCTGTCAGCTATGTACAGGCCTATGAATTAAAAGCTTTTTTTCCCCTTTCTTCATTCTCTCTCTAAAACATCCCTTTTGTTCCAGACCTTCAAAAATCTTATATTGACCTAGGAAAAGGGTATTAATTTTCATGTCAACAAGTTATTATGTATTCCCAATTTTTAACCTAGAATTCATTTGAGAGTTATTCTTTATTGTTTTTGAGATTTTGTTTTCTTCTTTCAAAAAGTTAGTAAGAGAACAAGAATGCCTAGAGAATAACAATCTTGTTGGAAGATCTCTAAATTAGTAATTAAAAGACTGAATATTTTCTTTAAGAGAGAGGAAGGATTGGCAATTCTATGTTTAATGATCCTTTATGATGAAGAAATTATTTTTAAATATGGCGAAACTTTTTTACACACATAAGAAAGACTCGATTCGGGTTATAAACGGCTCAAGAATGGTTAGGCAGTGGGCCAAGAATGTAACGTCAGGTTGGAGCAGAGCTTACCTCAGCCTCTGTTCTGTTAATTCCCCCAGGTCAAGCTATCTGAATGTTCTGCTCCCTCCTCCCTGCCAGGAAATAGTCCCTCTATATAGTTATACTTTTTTAACATGGTGGCTAAAAACTGTTTTAGGCTTTTAAAAATAAAATAAATAAATACATATGATTAAAAAATTCAGACAGGAGAAAATACCTATAATGAAAAGAATATAAAATTCTCCCTTGATCTGTGGTCCTCCTCCCCATAGGAATTCTCGTTAACAGTTTCCTATGAATAAATGCCTCCAAAAAATGTTATGCATATTCTAGCACATCTATAACATACATTCTTGCACGTGTGTATGTGTATAATCTTACACAATTAGGATCCTAACATAAAACTGATCAGGATCTTGCTTTTTTTTCTTTCCCAATTAAATGTAATTTGTGTGTCTCGCCATATCGGCATATATAGATTTCTCTCATTTTTAAATAGCTGCATACTTGTTATGGATTTACTGTAATTGATTTAATCAGGACTCTATTGATGATAATTTAGATTATTCCTAACTTGTGAGAGTGGCTGATGTCCTTGAACATACAGAGGCATATCTGTGAGTAAACCTTTAGGTAAATTACTGGCAGTGGAATTGACAGGTCAAAGGATACATATACTTAAAAATTTGATAGAGATTTCAAAATTTCTCTAAAATTTTGTGCCAATTCAAATTCCCAACAAGAGTCATGAAAGTGATGGTTTTCCTATCAATTCAACAACTGTATATATTTAATACTTAGCAAATCTGATAGGTAAAAGGTTTTTTTTCATTATTCTGTTTTTTCGTCATTTTGTTTGCATTTTTTTCATTATGATAGAGTGAGCATCTTTTCATGTTAATAAGCCCACTTAATTTGTTTTACTGTGAATTGTCTGGTCATGAAATTTGTTCACTTTTCTATTAGCTTATTTATTTCTTCTTATTAATGCGAGGAGGGCTTTGTAAATTAATGAAACTGGTCTTTTCTTATGGTGTTGAATGTATTTTTCCAAGTTTATCATTTGTCTTTAAGACTTTGCTTATCATTGTTCTTTTTTAAAAATTTTTCATGCTTTCATGGATCCTGGGTTTTATGTAATACTCAGAAAGACCTTTCCCCACTTAAAAAATATTATTATTATTTTAAGGAGTCAAATTCTGTCCTAATTGCTATTGTTTTTGTTTTTTTTTTTTTTTTGCACTGAACTGTTTGTTCTATTCAGAGTTTACTTTCAAGATACAGCAAGGTTGGGTATCCATTTTTATTACTGTTTCCCAAACAGCTCATCCATGGGACCAATGCCATTAATTGAATTTTTTTTCCATTTCATGATTTCAAAAAGCTACCTTTATCATATTTTAATTTCCATGAGTATATGCATCTATTTTTAGACTCTATTTTGTTCCATTGATTTATCATTCCTTAGTACAAAACTGTCTTAATTATTAGTCTTTGTAATATTGGTAGTCCTCTCTTATCAATCTTTTGTGGTGTCTATTTTTCCTGGAGTAATTTTAATCTCATTATGTCAGTCCTTTTTACTTATATCCCCATCCCCAATTATGTAGGTATTTCCATGAGGAGCTCCATTGAAGGATCCATCTCTTTTCAGCTAGCCACACATATTTTGTCTAATTTTCCCCTTCCCATCTAAGATCTCATGTATGGTAATTTCTGATTTGCCAATATCAGAGAGACAGGCTGTAGAATGGTGATATTAAGCCATATGAAAGCTTTAATATCCGATGACTTTGAAAATCAAGACCAAAGAGGAAATTTAAGTCAAGATACTCAGTATAAAAGCAAAAACTAGCAGTTCTATTAAGACATGTATTTTTGGACTTTAGTAACTTCATTTGAAGTCATTAAGGAAAACAAAAAAACAAGTCTTCAAAATGTTCTTCAGGAAATAATTTCAACTGCTGTCCTGGAATATGTAAACAACAGGCTTAAAGTGATGACATCACTCCTTCTAGTTCAAATTACGTTTATTCAGCAATTCTAATTATCAGGCTGTGCAGCAGATGGGGAAAATCAACAGGAATGATCCTTTATGTTCTACGAAATATGAAAATTGATTCTTTAACAAGCCACCCAACTTTTTTACTGTGTAGACGATTTTCTATTCTGCACCGTTAAAGAATAAATACATGATTGCTTAGATTGAAGACGCAGAATACTTTTTTCATTCATATGAGATAAAAGTTTATGAACTTACTGTTAGCATATCGTCACATTTCATATCTGGCGTATCACCATCTTCACTTTTATTGTAAAATTTTCTGAAAAAATTGAATGCCACCACAGTATACAGGTACACGACAACAGCTAATAAGCCGACTGTTAATACGAGCTGGAAAGCAATGTGACATTGAACATGTATTAAAAACACAGGACATGTGACTGACATATTTCACATTGTGTGGGAGGGGAGCGCTCTCGCGAGAACACAGCTGGATTTACTGACTAGAAGCTAACGGGATCCGTAACTTTATTCTTAGACCCCCAG